AGTATAATGAAAATGAGTTTAGATATTTATTTAGGAAATGAGAACGTGTTACATTTTCCATCCTACATGATGCAGGAATTGAAGAGAGATTGCGATAGTTGAAGACAGCTAAGAATCAATTTAGAGGACCCACATTGTTTCGATCATTCATTATCCATTTATTTCTTGTAGTTAAGGGATTCCAAATGAAACTATCACCCATATATATATATATATATATATATATTTAACACGAATCAAACGACTTTAGTCGTTAAAAAATTATTGTTATTTTTTTAGATTTCGAATTTAAATATCATGTATATAAAAATATAAATGTTTAATATCAAATAATTAAGAATATTAGAATAAATATTATCTTATATTCACTATATATTAATAGAAAATATATTTTTTATTTTAATTGAGTGAAAATATTTATTAATATATTTATGGATCATCTATTGAAGAAAATGAAATGAAATTACGACTCCTCAACAAATTTTAGAGAGATAAAAATATTATTATACAGCTGTCACTAACTTATTTAAAAGGCTTAATTTATAAGTTATATAACATTATGAAAATGATATTACTAATTCATTTTGTTACATTAACAAATCTTCAGAAGAAAAAAAATCACCCAATGGGATATGATATTACCGAAATCGGTAAGTATATTTCTTGGGTTAAGCCTCCAATGGGCCTTACAAATTTTCCTTTGAGACCCAAAATCACCCGACCGCATTACTGTATCTCGGCCCGTAGCTGACAACGAAATTACAACTACAATTTATAGTTTCTTCCTCAATAACTTCGTATAATATCTTCTTCACTTCTTCCAATGGGACAATATATATTAGAAAAAGATCAAAGAGAGCGGATAAGATAGGTTGTCTCCTAACTATACCTTTTTATTTATTTATTTAAAGGCTTAATATAAAAAATAAGTGTTTAAACTATATTAATTTTTCCATTCAGATGCTTACATGTTTTTTTATCAATTTAGGTGTCTAATGTTTTTAATATTATAATTTAGGTGCCTATGCAGTAACGACCGTTAAAATTTTCGTTAGAAATAAATAAATCAATCAATATTTAACACGTGACTTGATTTTTTATTTTCTTTAATTTTTTTAAAAATAAAATTCATTAATTAAAAAAAACTCTCAACTTTTCCTATTTTTCATAAAATATCCCAAGACCTTCAATTTCAAGATTGACTACCACCACCACAGGTAACATCCACTCACTCGTCGACCACCCTCCAACCACTCACCCATCGATTGGGATAGGTGGACTTTAGAACTTAGGGATTTATAGTTTAGATTTAGGAATTTTGAGGGTTTGAAATCACGAGGGTAGGTGGCGGCCGGTGAGTAAGTAGCCAGTGGGGGCAACAGCGGCAGTGGACGGCCAACAGGTAGGATGGATGTTTTGAAATTAAGGATTTTAGGACTTTTTTGAAATTTAAAAAATATTCTGAGGGTTTTTGAAAAATAATAATAATTTTTTTAAAAAATGTTAAAGGCACAACATGTCACATTCTGAGTGGTTTACGGAATTTTTTTTGATGTATGTCACGATTCAGACACTTAAATGATAACATTTAAAATTTTAGGCACCTAAATGGAAAAAGAAGTATAGTTTGAGTTTTTTTTTTACATTAAGCTTAATCTAAAAATAAGATTCATTGTATTCACGAGTCTAAACAAAGTATTTGTGATTGAGTAACTGTCGTTTTTACGGACGTTACGAGGGTGTTGATCCTTATACACAATTGTGTCTCCAAATTTAATTATGGGTTTCACAGATTCAAATATTTTGTTGTGATCTAAGATTGATTAGTGACGACTTATCATTTTTAAAAAGACAGGACACTATTTTTTTATTCCTCGAGTAAAATATTGGTGCGTATATCATACAAATAGAAATCCAAATTCACCGTACCGACAAACTCCATCAAAATGATTCTCTCATGCACCCGGTGCTTGTGAAAACCCTATGATGGGGACTACGCGAGGATGCTGAGCTAAAGAAAGTGTTTTCATTATCGAAGCAAACACGAATCCAGCATTGCGCAGAACAAGACGTGGATGTATCCTTTTCACAGCAACGAGCTCTCCTCTCGGTGATATATATGGTGGAGTAAACCGTACCCAAACGGCCTTTGCCGACGATTCTTCTATGGTTAAAGCCATCCGTCGCTGCATCTATGCGCTTTAAGTCGTTAATTGATACGCACTCGCACTATAGCTGACGGGGAACTCTTCATGTTTTTTATCGGATTTTATTTCTGCAGATGATGATGAGGACGATTCCAAGAGTGAAAAGCGAGACGGAGAGAAGAACCAGAACGAAATCATAACCAAAACGATGTAATTTAAACAGTCTATTTCAAACAGCTCCACATTTTACGATTTCTGTATATTTATACTTGTGAATAATACTATAGTTTAATAACATATTACAAATTTTAAAATTAAATGAAAATATGAGTACGTAGGTATAAATATTTTTTTAATGATTTGAGTAATTATAAATAGTATTTGTTTGAAAAAAATAATTAATAAAAACACACACCCCTATTTAAATCAAGATCTTTATAGAGAATACATTCCCTTTAATTATTGAATTCGTTTAATAAATTTTGTTATAAACAAATCTTCTATTCACATTTAATATTGAATTTAAATCCTCGTATCTTGCACTACCCAAACGACCTTAATAGTTAAGAGATTTGTTGTTATTCTTTGAGATACCAGTATCAAGTATCACATATACAAGGGTATAAGCATTCCTTGTCAAAGGATCAAAAGTCTTTGAATAGATACTACAAAATTGTCGATCGTCTGATCTGGACGTTAACCAGTTGATTGGGATATGATAAAATCATATTTTAATGATGTCTACTGACATCTTTGTTGCTTTCGAGCATTGACTCGGTGATATAATGTAAACGAAGAGTTGATCCACAAAATACAACTCAAATGATTCTAGAATCAGATTTTATCATGTCTACTAGCATCGATGTTCTTTTCAAGCACTGGCTAGACGACATAATGTTATAACCATTGGCTCAACGATATAATGTAAACGATTAATCGATCCACAAATTACATTTAAAACGATTTTAGGATCATATGTTATCATATCTCGGTCAACATGTTAACTTTTAGCTCAAGACAATGACAAGTTTGAAACATTAATAATTGAGTGGTCATTTTATAACTTTTAATAAGTCAGAGGCTCGAACCAACTTATCTCAATGGTTAAAAGAATTGTTGTTGTTCCTAGAGGTAATAGGTTAGAGCATTAGCAACTGCAAGGGTAATTGGACATTCATTGTCAAATGGTTGAGAGTATTTAGAACACATATTATTTTGTAATCACCTTAGGTTAATAAAAGAAAATTAGTCAGAGGACTCAACAAAAATGCGCTCTATAGTGGAATGATCATTTTGTAACTTTTAATAGTCAGAGACTCAATAAAATAACACCCTATACTCAATGACCATTTATGTATTTTACCCAATAAAATATAATGCTAGTGTATTAAAGCTCAACTCAGGGCCCTAATTAAAGAGCAAATTTCTAACAATCCCAACATCGAATATAACACTTAGCACTCCCATATGGGTTTGCTTAGAGATAGAATCATTACTGGTAATGAACTACTGCCGACAGCCCAAAACAAAGAACAGAAAAGCAACTTCTTGAAAAAATAACGAATTTTCTTACCACCACTAATCCAAGTCCAAGACTTTGTAGTTAAGGGGCCATAAAATAAAATAGAAAGAAAAAGGAAGAGAGTTGAGTTTTGCACAGAATTTGATATTTGAGACTTCAACTATGGTCCCCCTTCCTGGATAGGCCTTCACCAATGCCAAAAATTTGCTTTGAATGTGTTTCAGCAGTGTTGATAGATGGCATTTTCAGACCCCCCACACGTGCACTGAACTACAACTGCTTTTACCACTTTTACATCTTGCTATGAATTTACTACGTAGACAAAATTCGAGTACATCTTGGATAGATGATTAAAGCTTAAGGAATGAATTAAGAAAGAGTTTTTATCAACTTGACAATAAAAATAAATTTGTTGCGTAAAGCAATCTTTGATACTTGTTTATCAGGAAACTTGTTTGCAGAGATGTTCCTAACGACCTTTCCTTTGCTGTTTCACTCACCACATTGCTAAACAAGAAATTTTGGCTTTGTAAGTTATACGTTGAAAGAAAAGCCTGACCGAACTGTAGAACAAACAAAAATACTCAACAGGCGACTCCCGTTATGTTAAAATTTTGGTTTATCTTGATTGCAGAAAGTACCCAAGGTTTTATTCACAGGTAATTGAATTGCAGAGAGCTAGTTGATACTGAAGAAATGATTCAGGATCACTGCATACCAAGCGAGAGAGCAGTGGAAGTTGGAGATTTGGTGTACCTTTAATGTTGCATTAAAACAGTTGAAATCCTCGGAAATGCTTAATAAATTTATTTTGAAGAGGTACAAACAAGTAAATAACCAACCAAATGGAACAAGACAAATTAAACAGCCTAAAGCCGCTGTCTAAAATACAGCTATGGTCTTGTCTTGTCGATATAATCCCTTTCCAAAAATGATGTAAGGATTTAACAATAGACAGCGCCGCATAGATAAATGGTTTAGATCCCACTGGTATTGAGGAACCCAACTATTACATTAACGGATGAACAAAAGGCATAAACCACTGTCAAATCTCACAGCACACAGCTATGAAACCGGTTGGTGATTCAATTGTCAAGTCACCAATATGGTTGAATTCATAATCAGGGCCTTTTAATAAATTTACAGTGTACATTAAACTCCTTAATAAATCTGCCTCTGCTCTCTCTCTATCAATGTGAAAATTGTAAACCCTACTGCTGTTCCCGTCCAATCCCCGTCCCCACTGAACCAACCTGTAAAGCAAAACATCGAGGATACAATGATTGAAGACCAAACCTTGAGGGCAAGAAAAATTTAGAGGCGTATCACACTCGCACAATCCTTTCCATTCTTCTTTGTTTATGAAATAAACCTATAAGCAAAACCTTTTTTTTCATGCTACGCTTCCTTGATCCGATACATCTTCGTAGTAGTAAGGAGTCATTTTTCCATCCTCTTTAGCAGCAGCTTTTTGTTGGTTCTCAGCACCAACTTCTTGCAGCATTTTAACTACCCTTCTCATTGATGGACGGTTGATTGGGAGTGGACTAGTGCAGAGGAGGCCGATGTTGAGGACCTTGTATATTTCATCTTTGAAACAGGGATCGAGTTTGGAATCAAGAACATGGTCGACTCCTTTCTGGTCTAGAGTGGTGCAGACCCACCTTACCAGGTCCTTCTCCCCATACTCCGGGTCAATCGGGAGTCCTCCCGTCACCAACTCAAGTATAACTACACCGAAACTGTATATGTCGCTCTTCTCGTTCACACGAAGTGTATATGCATACTCTGTATCAAAAAATTCCATGGAAACATTTAGTTCAGATTGAGCGGAATATAACTTCAGAAACAATTAAATATTAGCAACTGCAAGTTAAAGGAGAATTATCAGGCAAACGTACATATAAGACTATTAATTAGTATATCAACTGATACATGGACACCTTTATATGGTCTTCAAAATAATTTTCGAAAGATTTCTTATTGAGCATTCAAAGAGCTTGGAGAAACCAAATAGCAGCTAAGTAAATAAATAAAGTACAACATTCAATTACAATAATGATGATAAAGAATCTAGCAACTAACCTGGAGCAATGTAACCACAAGAGCCGGTGATGATAGACATCGATTTAGCACCATTTCCAGCTGCATCAACCACCTTGGCGACTCCGAAATCAGCTACTCTTGCATGAAAATCTCCGTCCAGCAAGATATTGTTGGACTTGACATCCCTATGCACAATAGGGGGCACACAATCATGATGCAAATAAGAAAGCCCCTCAGCTGCATCCACGATAATCTTGTATCTTGTTGGCCAATCCAGCAAACCACTTTTACTACTATGCAACAAATCGCCCAAGCTACCATTTGGCATGTACTCGTACACCAAAAGCTTGCAATCCCTTGTAGTACACGAGCACCATAACTTAACAATATTCTTGTGCCTGATTTTCCCCAATGTCTCAACCTCTGCTTGAAACCAATCATCCTGAGCCTGAGCCGGACCTTTCTCGAGATGTACGCTCTCAGAACCCTTTTTAACGCCCCTCCAGAGCTTCTTCACAGCAACGGCCTCTCCATTGCCAATCACCACCTTGTAAACTTTCCCTGAAGATCCTCTCCCGATCACATTATCCTCATCAAGACAATCCAAAATTTCATATTCACTAAAACCTAACTTATGGAAAGACGTCAAAGTCCACTTAGACTTATGGATTGCCCTAGCTTTCTTATAACTCCTGTACTTGAAGTAAAACCAAACCACACCAACAAGAAGCACCAAAGCAGCTAAGACAAAAATAGATCTAAGCAACCAAACATAACCTTTATGCTTATCTCCACACCTTCCAGTACACAAATCACTGATATTCCCACACAAACCAGGATTTCCCATGAAGCTGCTTTTGTACAATTCTTCATTGAACAAAGGCGGTAACTCACCAGATAACAAATTATTCGACAAATTAAGCTGATTAAGCTTCAAATGCTGCAGACTAAAAGGAACTCTCCCAGTTAACTGATTGTTCGACAAATCAAGATAGTTCAACAGTGACAAACTCCCTATCCCAACAGGAATCTTCCCTGAAAAATCATTTTTAGCTAAATTAAGCTCGTTTAACCTCTTCAAGGACTCAATCCCACTAGGCAACTCACCATCCAACTCATTCCCATGAAGATCAAGAATCCCTAGTCCATCAAGCTTCACTATGCTTTCGGGCAACGGCCCACTAAATTTATTGTTACTAGCTGAAAGTTGAACTAAATTACCAACTAGACCAATTTCTTCAGGCAATGAGCCATTAAAGTTGTTCCTAGACAGGATCAAAAGGGATAAATTCGCTGCCTTGGCAATGGATTTCCCAATTTGACCAGAGATCGAGTTATTAACAAGCTCAAGTAAGTATACGTGAGGGAGGCCCCAGAACCCATCGGGTATTTCACCAGATAATTTGTTGTAACCAAGTCGGATCCGGTTCAGGCTCCGACACTCTGCTAAACTCGACGGTACGTGACCCGAAAACGAGTTGTATATCATTAAAAGCTCCTCGAGGTTCCCTTTCTCGCATAAACTCGGAGGTATTGGGCTGGTAAATAGGTTGCTGGACACGTCCAGCCATCTTAGAGGCGAGTTCTTGCCGAGGTTCACGGGTAACTCCCCTGTGAGTCGGTTCTGAAAGAGTCTGAGTTCGTACAGAGCTGGGGAGTCGGCGATACTCGATGGTAAAGACCCTTCAAAGTAGTTTTGGTATAGGTTGAGACTTTCAAGTGGCAGCTGTGTTAACTCGTCCGGAATCGTTCCCGTTAACTGGTTCATCGACGCGTCGAGTAGTTTCAGCTTGGTCAAATTCGAGAACCCGCGCGGTAACTCACCGGTCAACGAGTTGTTGTAGAGCTCAATCTGGACGACACTAACCAACTCGGTAAGCGAACTCGGTATATTCCCCACCAAGTTGTTAAGGGCGAGATCCAAATCGGTGAGTTTCTTTAGCCGACCCAGCGAGTCAGGAATCTCTCCGATTAAATTACATTCCGTGAGCCACAAAATCTCCAAGTTCGTTAAGTTGCATAGTTCGGGCGGGATCCGACCCGGGCTAAACGGGTTATACGACAAATTGAGCATTTTCAGCGTACTAATGTTCCCTAAATAGGCTGGGATTGTACCGTCTAGAAGGTTGTAAACCAGAGATAAAACCTCGAGCTTCTGGAATCTCCCGAATGAGTCGGGGAAATCCCCCGATATATTGTTACCAGTTAAATCGAGGTACTTAAGGTTAGGGAGGTCAGCCAGAGTGTGGGGGAGTTCACCGGTGAGTAGATTCTGGGAGATATCAAGGTGGACAAGATTCTGACACGTGGAGATATCGGAAGGGATGGCGGAGTTGATGTTGTTGTAAAACAAGTTAATGAAGGAAAGGTTTTGGAGACGGCAAAGGAGGGTGGGGAAAGTGCCGGCGACATTGGCGTTGGAGAGGTCAAGGGAAGTGACGGAGCCGGTGGCAGAGTCGCATGAAATGCCCCGCCAGTTGCATGGGGACAGATCACGAGGATTCCACGAGGAAAGGGCGGAGTCAGGGTCCGAAAGGGAAGCTTTGACTTGGAGAAGGTAGAGACCTTCTTGGTTGAGGGAAAGGGAAGGTGAAGGAAAGGTGAAGAAGAGAAAGGAGAGGTAAAGGAGAAGCATTTTATTTCTGTTTCTTTGCTTGGAGAGGGGAAGAAGTGAAGAGATTTGCAGAGAATATAATTGGGTGTAAACTTCAACGTAAGGAAGAGTTTATTAATTTGAGAGAGAGAACCAGAGCAAGGGGGAGAGTGGGGATTGTTATGATGTAGGTAACTATCACTGCCGTCTACGCTGAGTTTTTAAACATAATCATGGTGGGAGAGATAACTGAAAACTAAGCAAAGGGTATTACTGTTACCATTACCGCTAAAAAGCCAAGAACATGATGGCGGCGTTTTACTTGTTGTTACTGTAAAAAAACAGGTAATGAATAGAGTTGAGACAAGGGAGAGAAAGCCAAGAAAGTTCGTCAATTCGGTCGCATCACGTGGTGAGGGAAAATTATATCGAGGAATAAGATGATTAAAATACAAAAACAGTTAAATGGCAGAGAGATTTTTAGTAGGAGAGAGACGTAGTGGTGAATCATTGACGAGACAAAGACTTGTAATTAAGCTGTAGTCTTATTATGAGTGAATGGCGGAGGCACGCGAAAGTGACCGTAATCTTTCGGCAGCGTTTTGTATTTTTAGCAGTGATCTCGACATGTTCCAAAAGACAAAAGCCCTTATTTGGTTGCAAACAACAAATTTTGCCCGACGGTTTACACATTGAACCGAGTAATGAGTGATGTTGTCGTAAGGTCATTTCATAGGTAGAGTCGAGTTCCAAGACCGAACTTAGTGATTAGATTTGTTCAATTCGATACTTTTCATTCAAATTAAGCTTAATACAAAAACAAGTAACTTAACAATATCTAAAAAAAACCATTTAGTGTTTAATTTTTTTTATTAAAAATAGATATTAATATTTTTAGTTACACTTTTTAATGTTTACAGTTATATTTTTTTTAATTTTTTAATTTTTTAATAATAAAAATATTATTTTTTAGAAAAACTTAATTTATTTATAAAAAATCCAAACTTTTACTAAAATTCTAAAAAAATACTAAAAAACTAGAATATCTCATTTCAACCCCTATTATCAATCGTCGGCGGCCATTTCAGGTCACCATCGTCGCCAAACACTTGAGTTTTAATCAGAATTTCATGATGGTTCGAATTGTGGTGGCGGTGTGGCTTATGGATGTTGGGATCGGCTAAAATCAACGAAAAACAATGATGGTGGATTAAATCCGACGAACCTTTGAATGCTTCTCTACGGTAAACGATCGCATTTTATGACGAACAACCAATAGGGGTTTGATAGGGGTCGACGCCGGTGCCGATGAATGTGCGGTAACAGTTACAGATGGCTGGCCGACAACCAGGGAAAGGGAAAGGGGAAAGGGAAAAGGAAAAGGAAGGAGAAAAGAGAGGGGGGAGAGGAGGGATGTGGGACTGATGTTGGTTTAAAAAAATCTATTTTTATTTTTTAAAATAAATTTTTAAAATTATCATAATGTGACACATATCACTTAACGGTCAGCTGTTACGGTCTAGATACTTAAAAATCTCTAATGAAAACATTAGATACCTATTTTTAATAAAAAAAATTCTTTAAGTACTAAAACGTTTTCTGAGACAAAGTTTAGTCACTTATTTTTGTATTAAACTTAAAATTAAACCCCATTTATTCAATTTAATCTTTATGTGAGTTATTGTTTATTTTATCTTCCTTGTTCATAAAATATAATTAATATTTGAGTAGATTTTCATTTTATCCACTAAAATTTCAAAAATAACAAATTGATCAATAACGTTATCGATTTATAACAAAACAATCTTTCACATGAATAGGTCATTAACGTGGGTGATCGAAAGCTTACGTGGCAACTTCCTCAAACATTAATTACCATTTATGTAGTTTACCCATTATTTTATTTATAAAAAATGTTAGCAAATAAACCCTTTTATTTTATCAACTTTATTGCATCTCATCCAACTTAAGCACAACACAAGAAAAATATTATTGTTCTCTCCAAACATTATTTATTTTGATATTTAAATACAAGGGAAGAGTTCATCAATAATGGTGATAAATTTAAGCTATCCCAAGTCCCAACAAGGCATGTGTGTTTATTGAAATGTATAGGTGGTAAATTTCATTATTAATAGAGAATGTAACTTTATTGTTCTAACCATTAAGATTGGGAAATTGAGGCTAACAAAAACCATTCTTGTTTTATGCATTTAAAGTTGTTTATTTTTAATTTAATCACTAAAATTTTTACACAACTTTTCTTTTTCCACTAGATTATTATCTTAACTATTATTAAATGATGTTTCCTTTTTTAATTAAATTATTTTGCATTTGCATATGTTTTTTTCCATTGAGTTTCTAATTTTTATATATTTTTTCCTTCTTAAATTTCTTTTATTCCTCTTCTCCTTCAAAATATCATTATTTGAGACAAAATCTCAAACCTATATTCTTAAATTTTCCATCCGAGTTTTTTTTCTAATAAACTCATAAAATTAGTCCCATAAGCACTACAATTCTCACATTTGACGTCGTTCTAACTCGAACAAAGGTCAATCTTTTTTTTTCTAAACTAATCCTTGCTTTTAAAATCCAAAACAGGTTTGATTCTAAATAAAATTGTTAAATTTGATGCTTGAACTCAGTTGTTGTTCTATTAATAATCATCTAAATATCTCTTTGATATACTGATAGATCAAATAAACACAAGATATATTAACTTTGATATATCTCTTTAAAACAACAATAAAAGATATATCAAAGTTAATATCTCTCGTGTTTCTCTGGTTCATCAATATATATACAACATCATCCCTAAATCATCTAAATATTTCTATATTCATTTATTTATCAGAAAAAAATAAAATTATTGCTTAATACTTAAATAAAGTTATGACCTTGATATGTAAAATCCTAATTTAAAAAAAAATACTTTTTTTTCTCTTAACGGACATTGAACTCTTACTTAAAGATTCGATATGGGCAGGGGCGGAACTACATGGCCTAGGAGGCAGCAAATGCACACCCATTTTCTCTAGAATGTTGTCAAAATGTAATGTATTATAGTAAGATAGTGAAAATTCTACAGACCCATTTCTTGAATTTTGTGCTCTTTGATTTGAGTAATAAATTAATTTTATTTTAAATTCTTAAGTTAAAAAAGCATTGATTAAAATATTATATACCTTTCACATTTTTTTACTTTTTTACTTTTCCACTTTCAAAATTTATCTTTTATTTTTTTAATTCAAATTCAGCTGTCATCTCAATCTGAACTAGCCGCAATTAAATGTGCATAAAAAATCTGAATATTTGATTTTACGTAAAAAAAATCTGAAATTGGATTTGAGAAAAATTAATTTTTTTAAACCTGATCAGATATTTAAAAACCGAATAGTATAACTGGTTTGAAAAAAAAAATTAGACGATCGATTTTTTTACCGGATTAAAAAACAGTTTGAAAAAAACCGGATAAAAAATTAGTTTTTATCAGGAAAAAAATATTGTCTGGGGTTTTAAAAACTAGTCGTTAATATAGTTATTGGGGGGGTTTGTAACCGTTTTTTCTTTAAAAAAAATCACAATTTTACCACCCTAAACATGTATAAATAGGTTGGGGATGTATTTGGTTGATTACAACTTTCTCAAATCTTATTACACAATACCTAAACATCTCTCAAATCTTATTTTTGTAATTTTTTGTTCATCATGGCTATAAATACCGACCCTAACACGGCTGAATCTTCCGTTGGGGGAAACCTTGAAGTCGTGAGAGTGATCGAACACACTCGAAACAAAGATATTTGAGATCACTACGATTTATGTGAGATGTTAAATGGCTCGAGGAGGGCGCGTTGTAAACTTTGCCTAAAGTTTTTTGCACCGAAAGGAAATACAACGTTGAAGAACCATTTTACAAAATCATGCAAGGCACTTCGCTCAAGATCGGATCTAAGTCAATCGAATCTTACACCGCAAGGTGGTGTTTTTTTTTACAACAACGAAAAATTACGAGAAACGTTTACAAAGTTCGTGATTACAAAAGCATTGCCGTTCGACCACTTTGGTGATGAAGATTTCAAGGCAACAATTCAACAAATGCAATCACGTTATACTCAAGTAAGTCGTACTACCCTTAGAAGAGATGCTATAAAAATGTGGCATACGGCTAGGAAAAAATGATTTTAGGAATCCAAGAACACCGTTATGGTTTGTCGCTTACATGTGACGTTTGGAGTTCCCCTCATAATACCGGAAATTCTTTTTTAGCCGTTACGACACATTGGTTAAATCAAGATAATTGACAAATGATGAAAAGAACAATCGCGTTTGAATTATTCGGTGAGTCGCATATCGGTGCTAATTTATTTACACTTTTAAAAAGGGTAATTTGTCTTTATAAATTAGAAAATAAAGTTTTTTCTATATCCTTTGATAATGCATCGAATAATAAAAACGCGGTTCCAAGATTGAAAATATTACTTTCACTGATTTTAGACGGTGCGTTTTTTCATACCGTTGCGTTGCACACATAGTTAATTTATCCGTGCAAGTCGGTTTGGAGGTTATTAAGCCGATTAGATTAGAATTTAAAGCAATGATAAAATTGGTTCTTTGTAACAACAACAAAATACTAAATGATTATAAACGATTTTGTAAGTCGGTTAATAAAAAAGCTTTGGGTCCTAATTTGGATTGTCCAACTCGTTGGAACTCAATCTGGATGATTATGCATACCGCCTTAAGGCAAAGGGAAACATTGCAAACATTTCACGATCGGCTTTTCGAGAGGGGCCATGTCCCAAACATTTATCCGGATTCGAGTTGGGAAACTATAGCCAAAATAACCGATTTGCTTAGGGTTTTTAAAAATGCAACTTTTTTATCCGGTGTTTATTACCCTACTAGCCCTTTGGTTCTTAATCAAATATTTTTGTTGGCTAACCGACTAAATGATTTTGAATTTAAAACCGAAGTTTATCAAGAAATTGGCTTTGCAATGAAGGAAAAACTTTTAAAATATTTTAAGGAGATTCCCCCTATATTTACTTGTGTCGCCGCTTTAAACCCAACGTTAAATGTTGGCGGGGTTGAAACACTAATCCAACAAATTGTGTTTGTTTTTAATCTAGCAGATGATGAACCCAACTT